AGTAAAGATATTTAAAAAGAATCAAGGAATTTCAATGTTCTTAAGGAAACTAAAACCTTTATTTTATGGATCAATCATGACAGCAATGGCAAGAAGTTAACACTATGCTAGAACACTTTCCACCTCAAATATTTATAAAAGTTGAAAAAAACAAAACTAAAAAGTGACCAACTTGGACAAATAAAAATTCAAAATAATATTTCACTGATCATAGAAATCACAGGATTCAGGGATGAAAGATACCTTAGAGATTACCTGCTCCAACTTTATGGTTCCTTTTCCTTACTTTTTGCTTCTACCAAAATAAGAAATTATACCACAGTATTGTTTTCAAATTTACAAAGTAACACATTATAAATTATTCCTATAAAATCTAAAGCCTTAAATGTAGGGAATTTTCATATATCAGGATCTAATCCAGGTTGTGTCACTAACAAGCTGTTAGTGGGGGAGTCACTTAACCTCTCTGTGCCTTGGTTCCCTCATCTATAAATTAAAAGAATTAGATTCTAAGGTATTTTCCAGCTCTAAAATTCTCTAAGTCCATATGATAAATAATAGCACCTGCTGCACAAGGGTGATATTGTACTCTAGCTTTCTCAAGCACTGTAAATATGACCGAAGTAACCTAAATTCTAAGATTTCTACTGTGGATCCAGGATATACTAGAGGTGGAAGAATTCCTACAGTCTCAGAAAAGGATGGGAGAACTCTTAATAGAAAGGAGAATCTGGACTTGGAAAGGAGTTATGAAGTTCTTCAAAGTTCATAAATTCCTAAAAAAAAATTATCTTTTCTTCTTCTATGCCAAAAGCTTTTATATTTTTCTATTTATACTGTAGGACAATGGACAAATAAGATTCCCTTTGCCAAGTTTCCTGTTCTAAGAAAATTAAAATAAAAACCAGCTCATATTTTAAGCATCCGTGATCTCATATACATGGATACCCCCTCTCACAGTTCACATTATGAACATGTAAAGACTGTAAATTCCTTGAGCGGACAGACTATCTTTTGCCTTTCTTTGTATCCCCAGCACTTAGCATAATGGCTGACACATAATAGGCACTAAATGCTAGATGACTGACATTACGCTTTGTCTTTTGTGATTCCTGTACATGTTCACTCATTCTCCAAAGAGGAATTATGCAGCACGCTGGAAGGCTTCCTCAGGATTTCAACTTCTCTTGGGTAGTAATGAATCACTCAGTCTAATATTCATCTATTACCTGTCTTTCACCACGTGAATAGACCACCTACTTTTCCAATGTTATATTTATTTACTTTATAGATTTTACACTGTTTCTTGCAGTTATCATTGATAATATGCTACAGCCAATTTATACCTACTGTGTATCTTTCCATCTCCCTTTGAGTCACTGGCAGTTTTGATTCTTGTTTGGTTTTTGTTTGTTTTGGCTAGGCAATGGGGTTAAGTGACTTGCCCAGGGTAACACAGCTAGTGTCAACTGTCTGAGGCTGGATTTGAACTCAGATCCTCCTGACTCCAGGGCTGGTACTCTATCCACTTTGCCACCTAGCTGCCTCTGACAGTTTTGATTCTTAAGAGATTGTAGTGTTCCAAGATTCACAACTATGTAGCATCACCAGAACAACACTGAGGTTAAAAAGATGAATACTTGTGGCAAGGGACAGTATGATATCATTAAAAGAGCTGTACAACTTCCCAAATACACTCTAGTTCAATCTCTTCCTCCAATTCAATTCAGGGACAAATTTACTATCCATCAGCTGTTTGTCCAAAATCCACATATTGATAGACTAACTCACTGGATTGCCCATCCAAATGTATGTAATAGCAGAGGCAACAGGCATCTCATCTACTTGTTTTTTTCTGTATGACTGTTAAACTAATCTCTATTCAGTGACCATGGATGTCACTGAGGAAGTCATATGGTATTCTGAGGTTTTATGTCTGAAGCACAATGTTATACAAAAACCAGAAACATTTGGAATCGCTCATGATCTATAGTGATATACTGCTATACTTGGACATGCTCCATGACAGCATCAAATACCTTTGCTGAGACACCTGGAGTACTGTATTCAGTTCTTGGTGCCACATGTTAGTAAAAATGTTGATAATCTTAAGAGTACCCAGAAAAGGTAACAAGAATGGTGAAGGGCCTTGAAATCATGCTATAAGAGTATTGGCTGGAAGAGTAAGTGTTTGGCCTAGAGAAGAAAAGACTTAGGAAGAGTATTATAGCTGTTCAAGAGTATTCAAATACTCTTCAAGTACCTGGAAGGCTGTCATGTGGATGAGGGAATATATCTGTTCTTCTTGGCTTCCAAAGACAAAACTAGGAGTAATGAGTGTAAATTACAAAGAGGTAAATTTAGGTTTGATATAAAGAAAAACCTCATATTAATTCATGCTATCCAAAATGGAATGGGAAGGAAGAAGGCAGTGGGTTCCTCTAACTGAAGGGTTTCATACAGAGTTTGGATGACTATTTCTGGGACATACTATATAAGACGAATCCTTTTTTCAGGTATCAGTTGGATTAAATGGCCTCTGAAGTTGCTACCACATTTGAAATTGCATCATTCTGGAATTCTACATCTCCTTTTTGTGCTTTTGTGCTAGACTTGACACTGATAATCTGAAGATCTTTAAACAAAATGATCTCTGCAGTGTTATTTATAATTACGCAAGATGTTTTAAATAAACTTACTGTAAAATCAATAACCACTAACAAAAAATTAAATACATAAGGAATAAAATCTTATATAAATTCCTTAGCATCTAATAAGATGTAACCAAATTAGCTAAACAAGAAAAACAAAGTTTTTCTCTTTCATGCCCATTTTCACATGTGTCTCAAATACTGCTACCTTTGGCTTAGTTTTCTTTCTTTAAAAAATAACAGTTGTCAATATATATGTAGGTCTTGTTCTGCTGAATTAACTTTGCATGATTTTGCATAAGTATTATGCTTACTCTAGCAGCATACATATTAAAACAGGAACAATACAGAAAAAATATCTATGAAGGATGACACACTTTGTATAAGTCTTTCCATATTTCTTTTATATATATTATTTTTGTGGCACCATCGCATACCAAATTTATTCACTAACTGATGGACCTCTATACATCTCTAATATTTTGCTAACGTGGTTCCAGCAGCTGTTAAAATTTTTATGAGGGCAGACTGCTTTTTCCCTTTTGATGATATTTTTAGGATGAATTATCAGTGAAATCACTGGTATCCAAATGATATACTCAGTTTTGTGCTTCATGTATTATCGTACTTCTGTACCAACTTGTGGTTCCAACAATGTACAGGCTCTGACAACCCTGAATTTTATTATTTTTTTAAAACTATTTTCCCCATTCTAGTGGGGATAAGACATTTTGATTTGCATTTTTTTGTTTGTTAGAAAATACAGAATTCTTTTCACAGAGCTATTAACAATTTATAGTCAAAAACTGCTCATGTCCTTTGACTACCACCCCAAAAGGGAGTATGTATTGTTAGTCTTATGCCAGCTCCTTATATAACTAATGTTCTTGATATCAAACCTTGATCTGACATATTTACAACAAATATTTTCTCCCAATCTGTTAACTTTAGCAATAATGCTTTCCATTACATATAATTAATTTTATCTAAAATAATTTCTACTTCCTTGATAAAAATGTTCTTCTTATCCAACTGAGAAAATAAGTCTTTCTTCTTCCTTTTTAAAATATAAGATTATTGATATAGTCATTTTAGTGTGCTGAATAGTGAAGTATAGCTCAAGACATCTATTTTTTCTTTGCCACATAGCTATCCAATTTTCCCAGAAGTGTTTCCTGAATACTGATTACATTTTCTAGTGTTTCTACGTGTGGGGTTAGAATCTTGAATTATCCCAATATATTCATGAAAGATATCTTATTGAAGAGATCTCAATGCTGTTTTACTCTACTCAATTTTTCTTTTAAATCAACAAAACAATACATACAACACTCTACCTTTCAGTCAATTGTATGAGTGTGAAGATATGGTCTGCAGTAGAGAAAGATCTTTCAAATCCTATGCATTTTATCCTCATGTTTTCATTAAGAATACCCTTGGTAGTTAAGTGGATAGTTTTCATGAAAATTTTGTAGATAAGTGAACCGTATTTATTATACAAATACATATGTTGCCTTGACTTGAGAAGCTTTTGTCAAGTTCTCTGTAGAATTTATCTTAATTCTCTGCAACAGATGTTGGCACATACATTGGCATTATCTTCATGATGTGCTTATGTTCATCTTAAGTACTGAAAAGTAAAATGATCAAGTATCCCAAGCTAAGGAGAACTTTTGAGGCATCCTTCTAATTTTATCGTGAGAATGTAGATACTGATAATGGTTTAGTTTTTCAAGTAGTATATCAAAAGTATTAGTCAATGGACCAAGATCTTACATTTAGAATATAAACAGTTAAATTAATTTTCATAGAACATTTAAAAACTGTGTTTCTTGGCACCCTTTTGGTCACTCCACTAGCATCAATCACAGAGGAAGCAGAAAAAGCTGCAATAAAGGCTATTATGTATTTTCCTTTGTGTCATGTATTGATATGACCAGAGAATTCATCACCTAATGCCTGACCTCCTGGTGATTATCTTTCTCCATATTTTTGGCTAGACTTGTCCTCAGAAAACAGGTACTGAATTCATGATGAAATAAAATATATGGACCTAAGCTTTCATTCTATTTCACTGTAACAGAAGTCCATGCATATCCTATACAACTAGTAAGAGCAATTTGTATGTATTTAGTCTGTGATAAAGAGTTAAATAATTTATTTCCATTATGCAGGTTTTAGGTTTTAAACTGTTAGGATTGTAATTATTTAACTTTGTTTTTGTACATTATTCCTAATAGCATTCTTCACTCAATACTATTCAATATGAGCATCAGTTACTGAAGCATAAGATACTGAACGAAACATGCTTTCCTGTTTGCAAATATATAAATATATAATCCAACTTACTCTTTTACTGAGACAAATAACTGGCCACATACTGCAACCTAACGTACAGCAGCAACAAAGGCAACCACAAAGTAGCCAACGGACATTAACTGGAAGGTTCTTCTTAAGACAACTGTTAACTCTGTTGATGCTGGCTTTAAATTCTTCAGGTGCTACCTAAAGAAATTTTTAAAAAAAATTACTAAAATATTAAGGTAGGAAATATTTCCTACAATCATTAAAATTCAAATAAAATTTTTGGTTTTTTCTGTAACAAGGCCTTCAGTTGAATGGCTGACAAAGTTTATTAAACAATTCCAACACTCACTTTTCCAGTTAATGATGAAGGGAATTCTGATTCAAATTTGTTGCTCAGTCCAAACCTATGAAAACAAAAAACATAAGAATAAAGTCACTGCATGATATCACTGCGCCAAAAAGATATTAAATCCTTCTCAACTTAATAAAATCGTAAGAATACTTTACATAGCTAATATTTCACATACTGCTTTATGTTATGCTAAATTATATATATGTATGTGTATGTATATATTATATATATATATATATATATATATATATATATAAAATCACCTAATTTTATCCTCACAATAACATTATGATGTAGTTATTATAGATATTATTTTCCCCATTTAACAAATGAGGAAACTGGGGCTCATAAAGATTAAATGATTTGCTCATAGTCACAAAGCTAGTAAAAATATATACATACAGATTAACAATGAAAACTTAAATATGAAAAAGAAACATTTCATTAAATACTACTCAATTTATTACAAGTCATTATGTTGGCAGATGTAATAATAACTACTGTAAAATGAAAACTAGCTAGATTAGGAGTTCTTAACCTTTTTATGTCATGGAACTCCCTGGGCAGTCTGTTGAAGCCTTATGGACCCCTTTTCAGAATGTTTTAAATGCATAAAATACACAGGAAAACAATTTTACTGAAATACAGTTAACAAAATATTTTTTTAAAATGAATTCTTAGACCCCTCCTGAAATATATTCGTGGACCCAATGGGGATCCACAGACCTGAGGTTAAGAATCCCTGGATTAGATGTTCATTAGATGGGAATACACTGAAGAATAATTGTTCATTCACATATGCTTTACCTTAAGAACTGACTTCAAACATTTAATATGACTGCTGGGTTAGCAACCTCTTCAAAAGAAAACATAAAAATAAGGGAGAAGTAGGAAATTAGAAGACAGAAGGAGAGAGGTGGGGCAAGTGAGTAAGGGAAAACACAAAGAGGTGACGAATACCAAAAACTGCCTCAGAAGCCAAGAAGTAAAAAGAGGTAGCTAGGTACCTCTTCTGAAGCCTTATCAGAAACAGGATGTTTAGGTATTAAATTACTGATGGGATTTTAGCATTATGGAAATGAGATCAAAATACCATGAGATAAATCATTTGACTTCATCTGTTTGTTCTTGAATTCTTACTAGTCAAAAGACTATGGCTTTACCAAAGGATCCCTATCAACAAGTATATATTATTATTTTCTGCTGTTGAACTGCCATCATATAAGATGGTACGGAAGGAAAATGCAAGAAAGGAAATACACGTTATTAAATCAAATGGTACATAATTATAATGACCAAAAAGCGTGCCCCTGGAGAGTAGTAAATGCACTTCCTCCTGTCTTTGGATGACTAAGGGTATAGAAGATTACATACACTGTCAGACTCTGTTGATGTGGGTTGATTTTGATTAACTTTTTTTCTTTTTTAAATTCTTTGTTAGAAGGTTGGAGGGATATATTTGGAAATGAAAGTGATACAATAAAAGAGGTCGATAAAATCCTTTACCATTTGACATCTGGGAACATCTCTTTAAATGTTTATTAAACATTACTACAAAGTAAAACAAAACACATCAGTCAAAATTGGTAATTGAAACAATAATTTTCAAAGTATGGCAAATGTCCCAAAGAGATTAAATTTAACCTAGTAACAATACTTAATACTTAACTTTGTTTTCCCTGATAATGGGCTTCTGCATTCTAAATGAACATATACTGACAACAGATAAAAAAACCACTACATAAGTTTGTTAGTGACTGGAAAAATCAAAATAAGAGGTGCTACGTAGCTTTAAAAACAAAGCACATTATGCAAACTTGCATCTTCTTTTTAAAATATTTAAAAGCAATTTTACAAATTCATGTAATATACTTATTTTAAAAATCTCCCAGGGAACATAACATTTACCTGGCTAACTGCTTAAATGCTTAACTTCAGTTACATAACAGATTTCTGAAATAGGTATGATGTCTCCTGCACAATGCACAAAGATGACATGCAGAGAAGAACCCTATAGTAAGCAACTTTGAGGAGAAAAAAATAATAAAACATTGTAAAAGACATTTAGAATTTATATAGCTCCAGTACTCTAATCAACAGGGCACTGGCTTAAGAATCCCAAAAGCTGGATTTGAATCCTACTTGCCCAATAACTCATCTGTAATCTTAGACAAACACTTCCTCTCCCTAGGCCTCAGTTTCCCCATTAATACAAGGAGGCTAGATTAGATGATTTCTAATGTCCTTTTTAGCTCTAACATTCTAACATCCTTGTGCACTCAAGTGCTCAACTTTACAAGTGCTCTGTAACAATTCATTATTAATCAATTTCTCAACATGGTAGGTCAGTATCGGTAGCCTGTTTGATAGAAAACAAAACAGTCAGATACAGGGCCAACCTTGTCCAGAAACAGAGTAGAAAGCTACTTCCTTAGGGGACTGATAAATTCCTTGAAGCCAAGGTCTATGACTTACACTTCCTTATATTCTATATAATACCCATCATAGTGCCTAGGATAAAATAGCACTTAATAATCAGTTCTTACTTTTAAATCTGAAAAATACACTCCCTACATAACAAAATAGTCCAGAGCCTGAAATTCTCATTCTATCTCCAGAATGCCATCATTGAAATAGGTCTTAGAGTACCCCTCTAGGAAGATAATACAGAATAATCACATTAAGTTAGTTGATACCTTGGAAGTTCAAAGTTGTCCTGAGAATATTAGCTATATGACAAATTTCAACTGAGGGGGATTCTCAAAAGGACAAGGAAGAACAGGGGCAGGGAAATCTGGCACTGAGGTTGTAGCAGGAAGAGAAGGGAAAGCACTAACATGGGGCAGGAATATTGAAAGTAAGCTTTACTTACTTTACTACTTTGCCTATTGCTGACCCTGGTCATATAGAAAATCTGTGACAGTGGTGAAAGAAAAAGTCAATAATGGAGATGTATGTATTATAGGCCATGTACCAAATCTGGGTGTTCCCTCCAAAGGCCAAGTCCTGAACAAGAAGAAAGCAAACTAAACTGAGAAGCATTCATTGAATAATATAATTTGACATTTAATCAGGCATAACAAAAATACACTTTCACTTTATACAACAGTTCTTTCCTTAAAGAAAATCATACTTACAATGAATTTTCACAAGTTTAATTAATATTAAATGTTTATATTGACAGTTTAGGTATACAGAGAGGTTATTCCTACCAAGAGTATGGGTGGGATATACAGTATGCCTCAATTAACACTAATAAAATTAACTGCTGCTTATTCCCACTAGCAAATGACGTTCTCTCCTAGGTCTGCTTATGAATGAAAACAAAGCTACCAGTCCAAGTTTTCACTTTTTCCTGGTTTAAAGTCATAAGAAAAACTTTAGTCAATCTGAGAACTTCATTACAGACTATAACAGTAGCAGAAGTACAAATACATGCATAATGTATATACATGTATAAATATACATAAAGACAGTGTTGGCTTAGTAGAAAGAATCTTGGACTAGAATCAGGAAATCTAGGTTCAAATACTGGCTCTAACACTTACTAGCCATGTGATCTTGGACAAGTCATTTAATCTCACTAAGTTTCAATGTTCCCATCTAAAAGCTGAGAAAACTACCTTATTTATATACATACACACATACATACATACACACATACATATACATATATACATTCACTTGTCACAAAAAGGATCTATCCCATCTAACAGGGTAATTAGATGTAATCATCATACAAACTGGATGGATTCAAAATAGAATTTCTATAAGTATTGGTGTGGGTTATCTAGTTACTGCAAATTACTAATAAGACCAAGGTCACAGGTTTGATCCCCACACAGACCTGTCAATCAAGAAACATTTATCAAGCATCTACTATGTGCCAGACACTAGAGATACATACACACAGAAACTAAACAGTCCCTGTCCTAAGGAGCTCACATTCTTTCAAAGGAAACAATACATTCTCATATAAGTAAACGCAAAGTAATTAGGGGATGGTGGGCCTTGAAAGAGACTGAAGGAGGTGTGGGATCAGGAAAAGAAGCATGTGGTAATTGACTTGAGTTTTGAAGGGAACTACAGAAAATAAAAAGCAGAGATAAGGAAGAAGTGCATTCCAGGTATGGAGTACAGCCTCTTTAACAGCACAGGGAAATAAGATAGAATGTCATTTAGGAGTAAGACTAGACCATAGAGTACATTAAGGGGAATAATAAGTTTACAAAGGAAAGATGGAAACATTATAAAAGGGCTTCGAATGCCAAACAGGGGAGCTTGTATTTTATCCTAGAGACAGTAATCAGAGAGCTACTGGAGCTTTTCAAGCAGGGATGCATCATAGTCATACATGTGCTCTAGGAATATCACTTTGGAATTTACACTCTATCCAGAGCAAGGGCGCATCTTTAATTTAACCCTGATCTGTTTTGAAAGATATACCAGGCAAGAATAAGTACATATGGCTTAGAGCTATCCAGTACAATGTGTTCATACTACTAAAAAAAGTAAGTCAAAGCACTTCAAACTGCTGGTGGTCAGTGGTGACATTTTTATATAGAAAGAAAAACAATTTCTTATCTACAAGGATGAGGATTTAGAGATTACTTTGTATCTATAGACATTATGAAAATATTCTAAAGGAAAGCAGAAAGCTGGGAAACAATCTTTACAGCAGTGTCTCTAATAAAGGCCTCATCTCTCAAATACATAGAGAACTGAGAACAAGCCATTCCCCAATTGGTAAATGATCAAAGGATATGAACGGTGTTATCAGATGAAGAAATCAAAGCTATCTACAGACATATGAAGAAGTGTTCTAAATCACTTTTGATTAGGGAAATGCAAATTAAAACAACTCTGAGATAACACCTCCCACTTATCAGATTGGCTTATGTGACAAAAAAGGAACATGACAAATATTGGAGAGGATGTGGGAAAATTGGGACACTGATGCACTGCTAGTGGAGTTGAGAAATGATCCAACCATTCTGGAGAGCAATTTGGAACTGTGCCCAAAGGGAAATATACCCTTTGATCCAGCAGTGC